TCATATGAAGGTGGTCTGCTCAAGCCAGAATCCACACTTACTCAACTTTGTATATAGCTTCTTCTTTATGAGGACTTGTAAAACTTGGGCTAGATGGTGAGCATGCTCTTCTTTGCTTTTTGAGTATACCAAGATGTCATCGATGAACACAATAACAAATTGATGCAAGAATTCTCTGAAGACCCTGTTTATCAGGTCCATAAAGATGGCCGGGGCATTGGTTAGCCCAAATGGCATGACCAGGAACTCATAATGTCCGTACCTGGTTCGAAAGGCTGTTTTGGGGATGTCTTCTATCCTTATTTTTACCTGATGGTAACCTGATCTCAGGTCTATTTTGGAGAAGACTTGCGCACCCTGCAGTTGATCGAAGAGGTCGTCAATTCTGGGAAGGGGATATTTGTTCTTGATTGTGACCTTATTTAATCCTCTGTAATCAATACACAGTCTCAACGTTCCATCTCCCTTTCTGGCAAACGTGACTCCGGCACCCCAAGGAGACACACTGTGACTAATAAAACTACTGTCTTGCAATTCAGTGATCTGTTTCCTCACCTCTTCCATCTCAACGCGGCTCATGCGGTAAGGAGCAACCGAAATAGGCTGGGTGCCTGGTTGTAGGTCTATAGTGAACTCAACTTCCTTATCCACTGGCAGTCCGGGCAATTCGTCCGGAAATACATCTAGAAAGTCTCGGACTACCGGAATCTCTTGGATACAAATTTTCTTCTTGGGTTTGCTTAGTTAGAGAAAATAGCAAGGTTAAAGTACTTGAAAATTAAGGAAACTTGTCATCAAGGAATAAGTATCAAATGATTTTATTAATTTATAAATGGCTCCTCATTAGGAGGATTAAATACAACCTTCTTGTTAAAGTAATCTATGGTGGCGTGATACGCCATTAGCCAATCCATCCCTAAAATTACATCAAAATCCCCCATGTCTAACCCTATTAGGTCTACACTTAGTTTTCTATTTGCTATCTCCACGGCACAAGCCCTGTAGACAACTTTTTCTAATAGTGTTTCACCCCTAGTAGTAGACACAAACAACATTGAATCAAGTTTATCAGGTGATACATTAAGTTTGGATGCAAAAACATGTGAAACAAATGAATGTAATGCACTAGTGTCAAATAAAACATGAGCAATATGGTCACAGATAGTGTACATACCCTGTACCACGTCCGGGTCGGCATCGGCATCCTGCTGTGTGAGGTTGTAAACCCTGCCCTAAAAAGGAGGTCTTCCTTGGTTCTGGTTCCTTGGGCACTCTCTCGCATAGTGCTGGGCACTACCACATATGCGACAGGTGTTGTTGAGGCGATAACATGGTCGGTCCCCGTGATCCCTACCGCAGTGCTGACAGATCTTGCCACGTACGCCTGAGGGGGAGCCTGGATCGCCGGTCTGGGCCTCTTATTTTGTTGGACAGGCGCAGTAGGTGCTAGTCTGCGGGGTGGAGCTGAGGGTCTGTGACTCCCTGCTGACTGAGAAAGGGTATTAAAACTCCTCTCCACGATCTGCGCCTTTGCTAGAACGGTTGAATATGTCTTGAGCTCTAATACCAATAAGTGTCACTTGATCTCTGGGCGGAGGCCCCACTGGAACCTCCTGGCCTTTCTGCCCTCATCCATCAATGTCTCAGGAGAGTATCGGCCCAGCTCTAAGAACTTATGAGCATATTCCGACACCGTCATGTTTTCCTAGACCAGCTGAACAAACTCTGTCTCCTTTAAATGTCAGATGTGCTCGGGGAGGTACTCTGCATGAAAGGCTGCTAAGAACTGCTCCCAAGTGACTGGCGTAGGCAGGGTGGTCTGCTTGAGCTCCCACCAACGATTTGCTTCCCCCACCAGCATGTAGGAAGCAAGAGTAACCCTCTGCTCAAGAACCACTCCTAAGGTCTTGAAAGCCTTCTCTGTCTCTGCCAACCAGTACTGAGTATCTTCGAAAGAGGACTCCCCTATAAAAGTGAAAGGGTTTAGTCTCCTGTACCTCTCTACGTAGCCCAGGTCAATCAGGGAAGGAGCTGGGTCCCGTGGAAGAGGGACAGGGCCGAGCTGAGGATAAACTAGGGGGCTCTGTGGTGGCACCTACTGATATAGTGGGGGCACCGGATCATACTGTGGCGGTGCTGGGCAATACTGTGGCTGAGGCATCGGATTATACTACGGCGGTGGTGCCGAGTGGTACTGTGGAGGAGCAGACTCTTGCCGGGGTGGCTCGGGATCCGCTCGCTACAGTAGTGGCTCAAACTGTGGTAGTGGGGGAGGGTAGGGTTTCCCTTCTCTCCTCTCGACCTTGTTGAGCAGCAACGATCCTTTCGAGCATCTCAAATATTCTGTCAACATATTCTCGAAGCGAATCATCTCGGACTACTCGATTTAGTAGGGGTCTCCCTCTCCTCATCTCTCTGTAACTGCATGTCACAATGAATGGTTGAGTAATAATTCTCAGTTTGGTATTCCTCTAAGTATTATTGTGTAAGGGACGGATCCGAGGAACGCAGCTCTGATACCAACTGTAATAACACTGGAAATTAAAAGAAAATGTATATAAATATTCTAAGTGCAGAAGCAAAATAAAATAGATTATGATTAACATCCCTTACACAATAATCAAAACGTATAAATGTATGAAAGAATAAACTAACTAAAGAAAATACTACGAATGAATACTATAAGGAAAACTAATAAATTCTTAGGCTTCTACTCGCCGTCTTCCTGCAGAACGGGCTCGGGAACTAAGTCCTCCTAATCTGAAATGGTTAAGTAAGGAATAAGCTACATTAACCTAGTAAAGACATCACACTATCTCACTGTCACAGAAGTAAAGGTTGGTAGAAAACAAAAACGACCAATGGAGCGTAATTTATAACAAACTCATTTATCAATAATAAAAATCTTTACTGTCCACTTACCTTTGTGAGATTTATGAAAACAATTTATGAGAAACCATAACATCATAAACATCATAAGATCATACACACTCTGTAACATAACACATATCATACTTTTGTATTTCAATCATCAGGTAACAAATTTCCTCTTTTATCAGCCTACTAGTATCCATGGGGATCTCTATAGGGGGTCCCCGCTACATGTGAACCATTCACATTAATAACTTAATTCCAGGGTCGTCTCCATACCCCGTCCGGTATTGCGCCAAAACTATAAACCTCAAAACCCCGTCCGGTATGAGGGTGAAACAGGTCGTCCCCATATCCCGTCCGGTATGGGCGCCAAAACACATAAAGTCTCCACAACTCGTCCGATATGAGAGACCACGTTCCCGGTAGGGTTCCCTATGGACCTGATCCGTCCACCATCTCCCAAGATATCTAGTTAGGCTATCGACATTATTCATTTATCAATTCACACACCTTTTTCTATTTTTCTTAATTTCAATTATCCAATCAAACATAAACACGTAAACCAATAATGGACACCAAACAAGGCAACACAACATAGGGTTCACAATAATTCAAACCATAATAAATGAAACCGTGATTCATGCATATGAAAACATAGAATAAACACATCAAGCACCATACTGCATTTAAAACTGTAAAATAAATCAAATAACAACTGACCAAAAAATACATCAGATTCGGGCTCCATTAGCAACCTTAATTAATTATACATATCTATTAATTCGCAACATACCATTTTATCAGTTATTAAGTTTTAATACCGTAATAGGAAATAGGGTGAGAGATCCTTACTTGTTTCGGAGTCTGAAATTGAGTTCTCACTGCGCCTACGGGCAGTCCCTAGATTCCCTGAACTTTTCTCCAGAAACTGAAACACACTTCCGGTACCTGCACATGTCCCCAAAAAACCCCAAATCAAACTTAGGGCCTTTTCGGCCAATTTTAGAATTCCGGCATGGTGGCTCCGTCGTGCTCCGGCGACGGCGCTGCCGCCCACGACGGCAATCCGCCTCGGATTGGCCGTTCTCGGCCGTTTTCGACCGAATTCAGACAAAATTCCATTGGTTCCTGTGATAAATCACCCTTAGGGTCCTCGGTGGGCCAAAAAATTCCAGAAAACGAGACTTACTGGCGGTGAAACTCTCGGATGCGGCGGCTCCTCTAGCGCAAGTCGCAATTTGGTGTTTTACTCCGGTCAACTTGTAGAGAAAAGGATAGTGGTCACAGTGGTATAAAAATTACATCAAACGGGAACCAGGAAGGGCCTCATTGGAGGCAAAAATCAAGAAAATCTGCGATGGCGCCGCTGGACTTCGGCGGTGTTTTTCGGCCAATTGACCGGTGGTTTGGCTATGATTTGGCCACAGAGAGGTTCAACATCAAAAAACGAGTCAATGAGAGAAATTTTATCTCATTTGGCAGTCAAAAAATCCTCAGGTGCAGCAGCGGGTGGCGGCGGCCGGTTCCTCCGGTGGCTGGGTCGTCTTCTCTTGCGAGGGTTCTAGCAGTTAGGGTTTGGGGTTGGGTGTGGATGCGATTATTTATAACCTTTCCCTTTTAATCTGAGCCGTCCATCATGATTTAATCTGAGACGTCCGATCGTAATTAAATTAGAAATAAATCTGGGTCGTCCATCGCAATACGATATGGACCGTCCGCATGCGTGAGATATGGGTTGTCCATGCGCTCTTTTGATCTGGGTCATCCGTGCGCGCGGGAATGGATCTGGACCGTCTGATCGCGCGTACGCGGATTGCCCACGTGTATCCGTCTCGCGTTGCTTCCCGCGTCAGCGTCCCAGCCACACGGCGTGTCCTAATTTGTCGGGGTTGCTGACGCGGCTGCTGACGTGGTGTTATTTTTCTAAATTACTTTTTGACCCCCTGTTTTCGATTTTCTTTTTAAAAACACCCCCAGAATCCAAATTTTCACCTCTTTTTCCTAAAATCAATTTTAATTAAATCCCAAAAATAATTTTATCCCATTTTATTATTATTTTTATTTTTATTTTTATTAAATTAAATTAAATTAAAACCTTATAAATTAATTATTAAAATAAAACAAAATTAGACAAAATTCCAATAAAATTAAAATAAAATAAAAGAAAAATTTTGGGTGTTACAACTTTACAAAGCAATTTCCCAAAATCGTAAAAGGATTCTTCTGAGTCTTCCTTGACCACGAACTTGCTCTTGGTTTTCCTGCTCTGAAATTGATAAAAAAGGTAGTGAGCCACCATTTGTTCAATAAGTATAATTTAAGACTCTAATCAAAAGATTAGAGATAATATACTGATTGGAACACTTATTTTTACCTCAAGCTTACCACACTCTTCATAACCATTTGATTTTCACATCCTACTACAATTACGTTGATCTTACTAATCACATGTTTTCACTTTTATATACATCATTTCATTCAAAAGATATTCATAATTTCTCAATCTCAATAGCATAACATCATAATCACATTAATTATACATATTCACATATAGAATATCTTTCTTTCTCATATATTTCATATCATCCAAAAAGTATCCACTATTACATAACTAAATTCTCATAAATTCTTTTAAAAAATGCAATATCGTATTCATATTAATTATATATATTCACACATAGAATACCCTTCCTTAAAAACATATTCACATATAATACATGCAACACCCCAACCCTTTTCTCTTTTATTATTATTATTATTATTTTATTTTAATTTTTGTAATTATTATATAATGTAATGATTTATTATGTAATAATATATGATTTTAATTTAATTTATTTTATTTAAATAGAATTAATAATAATAATAATAATAATAATAATAAAAAGGGATAAAATTATTTAAGAATTTAATTGAAAATAATTTTGAGAAAAAGAGGTAAAAATTTGGGTTCTGGAGGTATTTTTGAAAAGAAAATTGAAAACAGAGGGATCAAAACGCAATTTAGAAAAATTACGCTACGTCAGCAGCCCGGTCAGCAGCTCCGGCCAACCAGGACACGCTGCGTGGCAGAGACGCTGACGTAGGAGGCCACGCGGAAGGGAGTCGCGTGGGCTATCCATGTACAGGCGATCGAACGGCTGAGATTCGTTCCCGCGTGCACGGACGGCCTAGATTGCACGCGCACGGATGGTGCAGATTGAATCGTGCACGGACGACCCACATTGTATCGTGATGAACGACACAGATTCATTTCCTATTTAATCGCGATCCGACGGTCCAGATTAAATCACGATGGACGGCTCAGATTAAAAGCAGATGGTTATAAATAATCTCATTCGCACCCAAACCCTAACCCTAGCTGCCAGAGCCCCTCGCCGGATAAGATAGCCCAGTCGCCAGGGAGCCGACCGCCGCCACCTGCCGCCGCACCGGAGCAATTTTCGACCGCCAAACGAGGTAAAAATTCTCCCCTTGGCTCAGAATTCGATTATAAACCCACCGAAACCCAGCGGCGCCGCCACGGGTTGTCTCAATTTTTGCCTCCGATGAGGCCCTTCCCAATTCCCGTTCAATGTAATTTTTTTTACCATTGTGACCACCATTCCCTCCTCGACAGGTTGACTGGAGCAAAACACCAAACTATGACGCAAGCCGGAGGAGCTGCCGCACCAGAGAGCCCCACCACCGGTAAGTTTCGATTTTTTGTGTTTTTTGGGCCCACCGAGGGCCCTAGGGGTGTTTTCTCACAGAAACCAATGCAAGTTTGGCTGAATTTAACTGAAAACGGCCAGAAACAGCCAACCCGAGGCGGATCACCGCTGCGAGTAGCAGTGCCGTTGCCGGAGCATGGCGGAGCAGCCGTGTCGAAATTTCGAAATTGGCCGAGTAGGCCCTGGATCTAATTTTTGAGTTATAGGTACCGTAAGTGCATTTCAGTTCCCGGAGAAAAATTCAGAGAATCCAGCGACTGCCCGTAGGCGCAGTGAAAATCCAATTTTCGACGTCGAATCAGGTAAGGACCTCTCACCCTATTTCTTATCATGAAATTGAAGTCTAAATAAATGATATTACTGTATTTTGTACAAATTAAATAGATATGCTATAACACCCTAATTTTATTTTATTTTAATTTTTCTTTTATTTATTTATTTAAGTAATAATATAATTTTTTTAATTTAGTTTAATTTAATTTAATGGAAATAAAAATAATAATAATAATAAAAATGGGTAAAATTATTTTTGGAGTTTAATTAAAAATAATTTTGAAAAAATGGGTAAAAATTCAGATTCTAGGAGTGTTTTTGAAAAGAAAATCGGAAACTGGGGTCAAAACACAATTTAAAAAATTACCCCACATCAGCAGCCACATCAATAGCTCCGGCCAACCAGGATACGCCGCGTGGCAGAGACACTGATACGAGAAGGCCACGCGGAACGGGCCACGTGGGCGATCTGCGTACGCGTGATCGGACGGCTGAGATCCGTACCCGTGCGCGCGGACCGCCCAGATCAAACGCGCACGCGGACGGCCCAGATTGCACACGTACGGACGATCCAGATTAAATCACGCACGGACGGCCAAATCGCATCGCGATGGACGGTCCAGATTCATTTCTAATTTAATCGCGATCGGACGTTCCATATTAAATCGTGATGGATGACTCAGATTAAAAGGTAAAGGTTATAAATAATCTCATCCACACCCAACCCCAAACCTTAGTGCAAGAACCCTCGCCGAAGAAGACAGCCCAGCCACCGGAAGAACCGACCGCCGCCACCCGCCGTCGCGCCACAGCACTTTTCGGCTGCCAAACGAGGTAAAATTTCTCCCCTTAGCTTGGATTTCGATGCTGAACCCCCCTGTGGCCAAATCGAAGCCAAACCACCGGCCAATTAGCCGAAAAATACCGTCGAAGCCCAGCAGCGCTACCGCAGATTTTCTCAATTTTTGCCTCCGATGAGGCCCTTCCCGATTTCTGTTCGATGTGATTTTTACATCATTGTGACCACTGTCCTTTCCTCTACAGGTTAACTAGAGCAAAACGCCAAATCGCGACTCTTGCCGAAGGAGCTACCGCACCCGAGAGCTCCGCCGCCGGTAAGTCTCAGTTTTCTGTATTTTTTTGGCCCACCGAGGGCCCTACGTGTGTTTCCTCGCAGGAACTGGTGCTAGTTTGGCTGAATTCGGCCGGAAACGACAGAAAACAGCCAACCCGAGGTGGATCGCCGCTGTCGCCGGAGCACAACAGAGCTACCGTACCAGAATTCCGAAATTGGCTGAGGAGGCCTTGGGTCTGATTTGGAGTTTTTTTGGGGACATGTGCAGGTACCAAAAGTGTGTTTCAGTTCCCGGAGAAAAATTTAAGGAATCTAGGGACTGCCCGTAGGCACAATGAAAAACCGATTTTAGATTTCGAATCAAGTAAGGATCTCTCACAATATTTCCTATCACGGTATTAAAGTCTAATAAATGATAAAACATTATTTTATAAATTCATTGATATGTATAACTAATTAAAGTTGCTAATGGAGCTCGAATCTGATATGTTTTTCGGTCAGTTCCTGTTTGATTTATTTTACAGTCTAAATGCAGCGTAGTATCTGATTTGTTTATTCTGTGGCTTCATATGCATGATTCACTGTTTAATTTATTATGGTTTGATTATTGTGAACCCGATATTATGTTTGCCTTATTTGGTATTCGTTACTAGTTTACATATTCATGTTTGATTGGGTAATTGAGACTAAGAACAAATAGGAATGAGATTGAGTTGATAAATGGATAGGTTAACAGCCTCACTAGACATCCTGGGAGATGGTGGACGGACTGGGTCCATAAGGGACCCTACCGGGAACGTTGTCTCTCATATCGGACTGGGTATGGAGACTTTAAATGTTTTGGCGCTCATACCGGACGGGGTATGGGGACGGCCCGCTTCACCCTCATACCGGACAGGGTATTGAGGTTTATTGTTTTAGTGCCCATACCGGACGGGATATGGGGACGGCCCTAGAATTAAGTTGTTAACATGAATGGTTCACGTGTGGCGGGAACCCCTATGGATCTCTATAGATACTGTTAGGCTGGTAAAAGAGAAAATTTGTTGCCTGATGATTGAAATATTAAAAGTATGACAAGTATTATGTTACAGAGTGCGTATGATTTCATGATATTATAATGTTATTGTTTTCATAAGTTGTTTTCATAAATCTCACCGAGATAAGTGGACACTAAAAGGGTTTCATTATTGATAAATGAAATTGTTATAAATTATGCTCCATTGGTCGTTTTTGTTTTCTACCAACTTTTACTTCCGTGACAGTGAAATAGTGTGACATCTTTACTGCACTAGTGTAGCTCATTTCTTACTTAACCATTTCATATCAGGAGGACTTGATTCCCGAGCCCGTTCCGCAGGAAGACGGTGAGTAGATGCCTAAAAGATTTTATAGTTTTCCTTATAGTATTCATTTCTAGTATTTACTTTAATTAGTTTATTCTTTCATACGTTTAATACTTTTTAGTTATTGTGTAAGGGATGTTAATCATAATATTTTATTTCGCTTCCGCACTTATAATTTTATATATGCGTTTCCTTTTAATTTTCGGGGCCGTTACATATGCATAATTAATTACGATTGCTAATAGAGCCCGAACCGGACGCATTTCTCTGTCAATTCCTGGGAGATGGAGTATGGACCGGGTCCATAGGGAACCATACCGAAAATGTTGTCGCATACCAGACGGAGTATGGAGACTTTAAATATTTTGGCGCTCATACCGGATGGGGTATTGAGGTTTATTGTTTGGCGCCCCTACCGGACGGGGTATGAGAATGGCCCTGGAAATTAAGTTTGTTAAGGGAATGTTCACGTGAAGCAGGGATCCCTATGGATCCCCATGAATACTAGTAGGCCGATGAAAATAGAGCAACTGTTGTTTGATGATTGAAATATAAAAGTATGACATGTGATATGTTACAGATTTTGTATGAATTCATGATATCTATTATGTTATTGTTTACATTGGTCTTTTTTTATAAATCTCACTGAAGTACGTGGACGGTAAATGGTTTGATTATTGATAAATGAATTTGTTTAAAATTTGTGCTCCATTGATTGTTTTTAGTTTTCTACCAACATTTGCTTCTGTGACGGTGAATAATGTGATGTCCTTACTGAACTAGTGTAGTTCATTCTTTATTTAACCATTTCAGATCATGAGGACTTGGTTACCGAGGCCGACCTACAAGAAGACGGTGAGTAGATGCTAGATGTCTTATAATTTTCTTTATACTTCTTTCATTTCTAATATTTCTTTTAGAGAACTTATTCTTTGATATTGTTTAGTATTTTTAAGTTATTGTGTAAGGGATATTAACCTAAATCTTTTATTTCGCTTCCGCACTCAGATTATTATATATATTTCTTTTTGAATTTTCGGGGCCGTTTCAATACATTTTCTTAAACACAAATTCACACATATAATATATTTTCCTTAAACATGTGGAATACCCTATCTCATATATATATTCACATCATTTACCCACACAACCAATTACATATGCACATAAACTCACTATCATATCACATAATATCATTCTGTTACGATTACAGAAGGAGATGATAATTCACACTATCAACATGGACCAAATTGTAGCTTTCACAAGTTATAGTTACAATCATAGCTACGATTCACATCGTCCCCTAGAGACACAGTCATAGTTACAGTATAATTACTATTCACATCGTCTCTCAAGGACACAGTCATAGTTACTGTTAATAAACAATCATGAGAGAGAATTTATAATCAATCCATACTGATCCTAAACTGCACATATATTTACATTTCAATGATAATGAAAATCTTTACTTCTAATCCCAAGTATTCTCTATCATAATTTGATTCATATAATACTTTGACATTTCTACTTAGTTCATCCTTATTATATTCTTGGGGCGAACCCAATCTCACACATCTTCATATGTAAATTACCCCCAAGTTCTAGAACTCATATAACTTCTAAAATTTCTCAATTTATTTAGGATATTAAAATATGGATCACAACATTTGAACTCTAAATTATTTACGCCATGAATGATTTAAAATTCCCCACTAATTCATAATCACCCAATAACTTCTATATTTTTCTCATTGTACACATTGTTTTGAAAATTTGATCAATCATAACTCCTCTATAATTTCGTAAATAGCTTATTTACTCTATTAATTATTTAACCAAATCATATATCTAATATTTATTTAAAGTATTATATTAATTAATAATGCTTCATTTTATATAATTTACCTTTTTAAAGTTGTAATAAATTTTCTCAACCAATATTCTAGATCTCTGGCCCATCATAATCATTCATGTTCCTTAGCTCGTCACTATTCATTGCCTAGAATGTAGTTGACCCTGTTTATTGGCCCATATAATCCTTAGTTCAATTTACTTTATTTGCTTATGGGCTAGAGGCCCAATGAAATAACTCATTTTGTTAATTCTCAATATTACTTATTCTTTCCTATCTTTGTTTATTTTGAATTAATGTAAACCCTCAAGCTAAATTTTATCCTTCTCCCTTAACCCATTTATAAGGGATGGGCTCACTGAAATTTTAATTACTCTTATTCCCTTCCTACAGACTAGACCCACCAAATTTAATTTCTTGTACCTTTATTTTGTTTATTGTTTTTTTTATTGTTCATTCTTCTTTTAATACTAGACCCATCAAACAAATTGATTATTGAGCCTAGTGTATATACACTTGTGCTGGGGCTCGGTTTACCCAAACACTTATTTTTCTTTTTTTTTTTAACTAATAAATCCATCAAAGTGTTTATTGGGCTTGGATTTGGTACCAGACCACCATGGGCTTGGATCTAGACCCCACGGATTGCACCGACCCGACCCACCATCAAAAACCCCTTCCATCGTCTTCAACCCCGAAAACCTACATGTATTTTGGTTCCAACCAACTCCCTTACCTTAAACACCCAATCATTTCATATTTTTTAAATATTCATCAAAAAATTATTGGAATATTCACACCAATCATCAAAATTACTATCCCATCACAGCAATGAATTAAATCACCATATTAACTTAAATATAGGGATTTAGAGTATAAACTACTCTTAGTCGGATATGGATTTCCTTCATCACCTATAGCTACAAACATAGATACCATGTTATTTGTTGCTAAATCAAATCCAATGAACATGGTATTTTAGTTCGGGTTTAGGGATGAAAAGTATACTCACAGCAACATTCTTTACAACACATCGGTGTTCATAAATGACGAAGGAATTCTTGGCCTTCCACCCTTCGCCATCACGCACTCTTCCTTTCTCCCTATTGATTTCACGCACCTCTTCTCTCCTCCTCCCTTCTGTCCTGATCAAATAGAGGCTAGGTTTTTTTTTTTCTTCTTAAATTTGTGAAACCCTAATTCTATTTATAACCAAGTAGATATAATCCTAACCGTCAAAATTAAAGAGTGAATCCTCACTGTTGATTTATTTTTATTTTATCAAAATGACATCGTTTGATGTTTCTCAAAACGATGTCGCTTTTGAGCTTCTAATGACCAGCTTCAAAATAACATCATTTTGAAGCAGATGGGCTAGGTTGCTGACATGGGCTTGGATGTTACATTTCATCAATAACTTAAAGAGGCAGAAAAACAAGAAAACAATCACTTTGAGAAAATCGTATTTAAGCTGCCTTTCATATTTCATACTTTTGAACATTTTTCAAGTTCTACAAACTTTTCCTTATTCTATCTAGTTGCTCTAACAAAGACAAATAGGCGAATGGTTTATTTAGACTATAAGCAAAAGTAACAATAAAGCTTAGGATCCTGTGCAACATTTTTCTTCTCTTTCTTCTTAATCTTAATGTAAATAATACGATTAACATTAAGTTTTTATTTTTTCCTTATTGATCAAAATTATTCAAATTGAGGGGACAAATCCACATCAACCGTTTGATGTTAGAACTATAGAGTAGTCATTTCAAGTCAGCTTTGTACAGGTCAGGGATATATATAGGCATAGTAAATCGAAAGAGACTACTTGTAACAATCCGGAATTTTATAAACAATTATAATTGTTACCTTTTTATTCATTCATCATAATAAGTATTAAAATCCATATATTCTTCTCATAATTGTCGTATTCTCAATTATTTCTATCATAACTCAACTATGTCATATTGTAATGTATTCAAAAATTTCAAAAATATTTTAAAATCTAAAGAATCAAACAATGTTTTAAAGTCTGAAAAATCATATTTATATAAACAAGTGTCTTTTTATCTTATGCTCCATTTCATAATTTTTCACAGTCCCAATAGTCTTTTGGTTTAGTCTTGTTTCCTCTGTTCTTGACATAATAAAGGAGAGTGAGTCACATATATTTAGTACTCAGTAAAAACAATTTAAAACTCTAATCCAAAGACTAGAGATAATATACCGATTCGACTCTTTTATTTTTACTATAACTCAACAACTCGATATGTAAATCTAACATCCAGTACTCATACTACCATAAATCAATCTCTAACTATTGTTCTCACTTCACATGTATCCCAATTCTTTCATAAAACATCCACAATTTCATAACTCAACTTTACATATACAATTTTACCGCATTAATTGCACATAATCACATATAAAGTACCTTTCCCCATATACATATTATATTGCAATAAATTTTCATCATTCACCAAACATAACCACCACAAATGTGCATAAATTTGTTACTTTTTCATATAATATCACTCAGTCACAATCACGGTAGGAAATGATAATTCCTATTATCGACATAGATCTAGTCATAGTTATGCTTTCACAAGTCATAGTTAAAGTGATAGTTATAATCATAGTTACAAAACAATAAAACGATCAATGAGATAGAGTTCATAATCATTCTTTACCAATCCTGGACTGCACAATTATTCATATATCCCTTATAAAAAATCTTTACTGTCTTCCCTGTGTACTCCCAACTACGATTCATTTTATATTATATTTTGATCTTCTAATTTAATTATCTTCATTTAATTTTTTTGTGAGTTCTATTTCTTTATTTACAAAAGCTCAATCTATTAATTCACAAATCATCAAACTCATCAACTCCCAAATTATTTTAAGGACATCAAATCACTGATACTATTGATTCCCTCTACATGAGGTATATTCAATTATTTAGCAAAAATAGAAGCAAAGGAAAATATCACCAAACTATGGCTAACAGAGCATTGACTTTTAATATTAAGGATCCAAATAAAAATCATAGAGGTACTGGATCTTACTGAGGAAGGCAG